CTCGTCTCTCCTCTCCTCGTCTCGTCTCTCCTCTCCTCGTCTCTCCTCTCCTTGTCTCGTCTCTCCTCTTCTCGTCTCGTCTCTCCTCTCCTTGTCTCGTCTCTCCTCGTCTCGTCTCTCCTCTCCTCGTCTCTCCTCTCCTTGTCTCGTCTCTCCTCTTCTCGTCTCGTCTCTCCTCTCCTTGTCTTGTCTCTCCTCTCCTCTCCTCGTCTTTCCTCTCCTCTCCTCGTCTCGTCTCTCCTCTCCTTGTCTCGTCTCTCCTTGTCTCGTCTCTCCTCGTCTCGTCTCTCCTCTCCTCGTCTCTCCTCTCCTCGTCTCGTCTCTCCTCTCCTCGTCTCTCCTCTCCTCGTCTCGTCTCTCCTCTCTTCGTCTCTCCTCTCCTCGTCTCGTCTCTCCTCTCCTTGTCTCGTCTCTCCTCTCCTCGTCTCTCCTCTCCTCGTCTCGTCTCTCCTCTCCTTGTCTCGTCTCTCCTCTCCTCGTCTCGTCTCTCCTCTCCTCGTCTCGCCTCGCCCTCACAGGACAAGCCTCGGCGAGCCGATCGAAGCTGCTGGTGGCCGATTGGTCGGAGGAGGACGTGTCGGAGTGGCTGGTGGAGGAGGGACTCCAGGGACTGGTGGACAGATTCAAGGCCAACAACATGGACGGGTCGGAGCTGCTCCGTCTCACCAAGGAGACGCTGGCGTCAGAGCTGGGTATAGGTGAGGAAGACGAGCGTCACACATCTGAGAGAGCACCGTGTCACTTCTTCACCTCCTCCCTCTGTCAGAGCCCTGATTCTCCTTTTGTCTCAGAAACAGAAGAATCAACCTGCAGAGAAATGTTAGATGTAACAGTTCGCTCAGAGAGGAGGCACTTTTACTCAGCTTAGATTATTGTAAAGTTATACTTCATCATGTCTTCATTTTCTAGTTTGGTGGTCTGTCATTATTGTTGCAGCACCTGTAGGTCTTTGTATATCTTCATCTTCTGACATTTATCTGAAGTCAGGTCACGGAGGCACCAGAGAAACCCAGACATTATTTAATTAGATGAACCACCTCAACCGACTCCTTTTGATGAGGAGGAGCAGCGACTTTACTCCAAGCTCCRCCTCCCTATCGCTAAGGCTGAGCCTGGCCATCGTTAGATGGAAGCTCATTTTGGCTGCTTGTATCCAGGATCTCATTCTTTCCAATCCAGAGCTTTGCCTTTTGACTCAGCTCTTTCTTCACCACAACCGACCGAAGCAACGCCCTCATTACTGAGGATGTGGCCCCGATCCGTCCATCCGTCTCCCCGCTCCATCGTGAAAAAGACACCCAGATACTTAAACTCCTGGAGTGGGCATTCCACACTTTTATATTATATTTTATTATTAACTTTATTCATTTCATTCAAAAAACAAAAACAAAACACATTTACATAAAATGAAACAATACAAATAAAATATAATGGAAGGTAGCAGAAGAAGAAAAAAATCTTATATCTGCCCCTAGTTGCAAAAAACAATATTAATTTCAAACAATATTAATCAAATAATAAAACTAAACAAAGAATCAACTCAAACAGTAACTCCTACAAATACAAATTATACAGTTTCATATTTCTTTAACAATTTAACTTTGATCATACTCTTAAACAAATTTTTATGGTCGAGAACCAGTTTCAGGCGATTAAACAAGTTCATATGGTTAGCATTAGCATTAGCTGCTCCATGCCACTTTCCACCATTGAGTTCTCTGAGTTATACTGTCGTACAAAAAACACATCACACAATGCCATGTGTTAACTGTTTACAGATTTACTGATGATTAACTGCACACGATACCATTTTGCCCACCCCTTGTTGGAACACACTTTTTGATTCCCAGTTTTAAAAATGGAACCACCACCCCGGTCCTCCATGCGATGTTGAAGAGAAGTATCAACCATGACAGCTACACGACATCCTGAGCCTTCAGCATCTCGGGTTTTACTTTTATTTCTCAGTGTTTCATTACCACAGAGAGGTCATTTTCCAAAAACAACTCTGAAAAGAGCTCCAAGAACCGCGTGGAGGAAAATCAAATCCTGTTAGAAAAAACAATCAATAATCATAAAAAGACTCAAACTGTTGGACAGAAATGATTAACACTGGATGGATGATGGATGGATGATAGCTTGATGGATGGATGATGGATGGATGGATGGATGATTTATGGATGGATGATTTATGGATGGATGATGGATGGATGGATGATGGATGGATGGATGATTTATGGATGGATGGATGGATGGATGGATGGATGGATGATTGGATGATTGATGGATGGATGATGGATGGATGTATGATGGATGGATGATGGATGGATGGATGGATGATGGATGGATGGATGATTTATGATGGATGGATGATGGATGGATGGATGATTTATGATGGATGGATGGATGGATGATTTATGGATGGATGATTTATGAATGGATGGATGGATGATGGATGATTTATGAATGGATGGATGGATGGATGATGGATGGATGATTTATGGATGGATGATGGATGGATGGATGACAGATGATTTATGGATGGATGGATGATGGATGGATGGATGGAGGAATGGATGGATGATGGAGGAATGGATGGATGGATGGATGGATGGATGGATGGAGGAATGGATGGATGATAGATGGATGGATGATGGATGGACAAAAATGATTAAAACTCAGAAAACTGTCTCTTCAGGTTCGTCTACAGGTGAGCTGTTTTGTGGGTCAGTTAGATTCAAAATGGCTGCCGAGGCTACATACAGTACATCCAGCACAGACAGTACAGACAGTATATACAGTATATACAGTACATCCAGTACATACAGTACAGACTGTAAATACAGTATATACAGTATATACAGTACATCCAGTACATAAAGTACTAACGATGACTCAGTCAGTTTCAGAGGCTACAGTTTGGTGTGTTCGTAGCTGGAAGTGTCAGCCAGCTTCAGACTCTTCAGGTTCTTTAGTTTCTTCTTCATCCTTTGATGGTTTCCTTCGCCTGTCTTCACAGCAGATAAAACACGACGCCGCCGCGTTCAGTACCGCATTACTAAAACAGATCGACACGAGCCGTCGCACCGCTGACGCCGTGGAAACCGAGCGGTGATTGACAGCCACCATGGGAGGGGAGCGACGACGCGGCAGCATGGCGAGCTTTCGCCCCGAGTTACGTGACGAGCGGCGTCTCGGCCGTGAGACTGACATGGAGGACGTAGAGCTCACACTTGTGGGACGGCCTGACGAGGACGAGCTGATGTCACCCACCGTCTTCGATCTTATCTTCCATCTTTAGATGACAGAGTGAATCTATATCAGTTAGAGCTCAGAGGACATGTTGGACATGACTCTCGGCTACTACCACACCAAATATTAGCTAAAGATCTCAGATATTCAGCTGTTTGAGTTTGCTAAGAGCCATCGGCTGTGGCGGCCATCTTGGATCAGATTGAAGCGGTTACTAGACTGAGTTACGTAACTGCAGCAGATTAAAGTCAGACGAGCCGAAGCCTTTAGAAGCTGAAGGTTTTCGCAGCTTAAACCAGCATCGTGTAATAAAACACAGGAGAACATTTGTTCCTTCAGCAGGACTTTAATCTAATTTACCAACATTTGTTCACAGGTGGAGCTAACAGGACTGCTGAAATTAGCTAACTACAATCCGAACAGTAGCTAAAATGAGCAAACTGAAACATGAAACATTTCAACAAGTGAGTCGTTAAAACATCAGTTTCAGAGTTGTAAAGTAACTAAGTACAAATACTTTAAGTACTTAAGTAGAATTTTTGGGTATCTGTACTTTACTTGAG